TATGTTATTATGTTTATGTGCTTTGTTACACGCAGCTTTTATCAATGTCCCGTCCTGGGAGAGAGATCCCTCACTTGTGACCCTCTCCTGAGTTTCTAAGTTTTTCCTTGCTAAAAGGTTTGTTTTATTTTTTCCTCAATCTTTGGTTGAGGGTGAAGGGCAGAGGGTGTTGAGTCTTGTTGAGCCCTATTGTGATTTGTGGACATGAGCTGTAAACATAAAATTTGATTGATTTTCAAACTCTAGAGCCCCTCCATCAGCCCCCTCGGGGAGGTCGGAGGTCAGCATCATGTTTGAGCAGACCTGAAGTCAGTCCCAGACATTTTAGAATGTTTAGTTTCTATGGATGGATGATTTCAATAGTTTCGAGCTGCCCTTCACTCACCGAGCTCGGCTGAGGACGAAGGAGTCCTCGACGGTCACCAGTGGTCCCAGCTCAGGACACTCTGAGTCATGGTACTGGCCACATTCATCGCACCCTGCAAACACACATCACAGCTGTCATCACAGCCTGCAGGTCACACACACACACACAGATCCAATAAAAAACAAATACTATGAAGGCCAAATCACGAAGGTTTTTTGAGAAAACACCTGCAACTATTTTATTTACACTATGACAACATTGAACCTATTTTCAAACCAGTGCAAGCAGCAGAGGAAGTACACACCCCTGATGATTGACAGCAGAGTGAATACACACACACACACACACACACACACACACACACACACACTCGCACACACACACACACACACACACACACAGAGACAGAATGACAGTTGGATTCTTACTCACAGATGAACTCATCTGGTGTTTGCTCAGCCATCACTGGAACCTGCAGACAGGAGAAGCTGCTTTATAAGTGCTCATGGAAAGGGGTCAGGACAGTACAGCAGGGCTGCAGTGATATGAACTACTACAGACTGGAGCTAACTGAACTTCAGAGCCTGTTTAACCGGGGACACTTGAATGCATCAGGCCGCTGTCACCACACAGCAGCGCGTTACAACAACATCAAGTGTGTTCTGGTGCGCGGCCACGCAGCTGGATCGTGCATGTTTAACGCGCGCAGTCCGTGCAGGAGACGGGATCCGGGATTTGAATCGCTCCCAAAGTGTAGCCGGGTTTTAACTCCGATCTGAGCGGCTTCGCTGCACTGTAACAAAGAACAGGCGGCATGGCGGATGGACCGGAGACGCAAACCTCCAAACCGGAGTCGAAGCTCTTCAGCGGGCAGCGGAGCGCGGTGGAGGAGGCGCAGGAAGCCGGGGAGCGGACAGGACGAAGCGGCTGCAGCTTCTCCACAGGACCGCGACGGAGTCCGGGAGGAAAGCAGCGCGTATTGAGAGGAAAAGCCTTTACCTTCCCTGCAGGAGACCCTTCATTTATCCAGTCCTGACTCCGGGTTCCAATCCGCTCCAGAGACGGCGCAGGACCGGAAACGAGCCGCGCCGAGTGCATTGTGGGGGCTGTAGTTTCAAACGTCAGGATATGGCAACAGCGAGGTCAAACTAGAATTTGGCAGAAACCGATTGTACAATAATAACAATAAAAATTAATAACATGAATAAAATAATTTAATATTTATAATACTTGTACTAATTTGCCATTAGTGTTATTCTATTGATGATTGAATAGTAATGTTATTTGTTTTAGCAGTGGTAGATATTACACCCAGGCCACATCTCTTTAGTAATTAACAGTCAATTCATTAAACCTTTGGGATCCACTGAAACAATATAGAGGAAAAAACACTAAATCTTGACTGATTATAGTTAAAATCTGATTACCTGATTTTGAGACTGGTCAAACTTTCCCCAAAGTTAGTTAATAAAGTCGTGAAGACCTCCAGAAAGTTTGATCTTTGGTTTATGAGTTGTTGCTGAGATATCATTATTTATCTGTAGTGGCATCAGGAGTCGTTGTACTCATGTACTACTTTACTCCCAGGTCAATGGATAAACCTCAAAGACATACATGTGTGGAATTATAACTTAAAAAATCAAATGTTCTGGGGTTTTATCTTCAGATTCACTGTAGCTAACATACAGTTTTGATAATCATGCAGCAGGAAAATAGCTTCTAATATGGGAACAATTTCTCTGTGACGTTATGTTATAGGACATATGACCAGTCAGTCACTGAGGTTTCTCATATGAGTAAATCAACATGCTAATATCATCAGGATCTGTGACGGTGCGTCCCAAAAATGTGATGATTTTACACAGAATGACCTGAGCAGATGCTTCTTAAATTTAAGTCGCTAATCTTCATTACGCTGTCTGACCATACAGCACATTAAGTGTGGAAGCATTCTCCAGATCCCTCAAGCATTAATACGTTCATATCCACATACCCCACTGCAGATGAATGCCCTGTATTCACAATCCAGTAATCTCAGTAAAACTGTATGAATATTATCAGCAATATGTACTTCTGTCATTTTATATATGATAAAACAATCCATTATATATTATGTGTAAGCAACATTTGTGGTTGGCCGAGGTGGAACACATTTTCCCCCTCAGTAAAAACCATCAGCATCTTCTGTCTGTAACTTAGTCGAGTGCATTAAGAATATTTCAAACGGTTTTAAATTATTGATTTCTATTTCTCAGGAGTCAATACATGACATACACCTCTTCTTATTGATATTACTGTTGCTTTGTTTTTATTGGGTTATACATGCAATTGTTAATTAGTCATATTACTTTCTGCATGCTAAATAAAAAAAATCATATATTAAAAACGTATTTAACTGTTAAAAGAAGTTCTCCAAGTGGATGCCTATATCTTTAAACAAGAATCAATAATGTGGATGGCAGCACTAGAATTATTTGCAAATGTTTCTACAACACATGTTCTCTTTTTACTGATAAGAAAATAATAAAACGTTTGGGATTAAATGAAAAACTAAAATGACTTGTTTTGGAAGCTGCTATGTTAAGTATCTATACCAAACAATTAGTGACTATGACTAGAACTACCAGATAAATGTTGAAAACGTATATAATTCCCTCTGAAATATATAAAAGTGGTTAAAGAAAACACAAATACCTCAAAACTACAAATGAATTAGTTATTTTCGAGCAGCAGAGTGGGAACCTTTGACTCTTTATAAAGGAAAAGCCACTGTAAAATAACAGAAGTAAAACAGCATATCAACATGTAGTGATTTACATTTAGCACAGGACGGACTTCACCACAGCTGCAACATTCAAAGTGGCACCACAATCAGTTATTGCTGAAAAAGAAAAAAAAATCTTGATATGTATAATAGCTGCAATCCCTGCAGAGAAGTGACTGAGGCCCTGCAGCAACAGTGAAGTTAGCCGCTCTCTGTGCACAAAAAACAGATGCCAGTGAAGAAACCATCAGGAAGCAGTTTATTAATCACAGACAGCCCTACTGCTCACTGAAAGCTGAACTGCACCCACTGCTTGCACGAAGCCTGAAGCAACGGCTCTGAAGCATGATTAAAATGACCCGTTTTATTTTTACAGGATGTTATTCTGCCTGAATCTTAGCTTTTATATTTTTCTATGAACAGAATATGGTCGATGATGGAGAGCAGGCGATGAGATGTCTGCCTTGTAAATACAAAGACACAACAACTGTGTCCGCAGGAGAGCGCAGTCATGAACAGTGAGTGTTTTTAATTCCCAAGTAGTCTTAATGACAACACTCAGTTAACAGATATGTGCATAGGCATTTTGATTATTGACATTGCCGATGGTGCAGGAACTTGTGGCGCGCTATCCCAACAGCTCGCTCCCCCGTCCCTCTCTGCTTTCTGATGGTGGATCCAGCCTCACGTCCACTTTAACATCCTCAGAATATCTGTAAGGCAGTCTGTCGATTCTGATTCTGAGCACATTACCTTACTGAAGAAACAGTAGTACAGGATGTGCAGAAAAGTCTTCAACGGAAAATAAAAATACAATCATTAGCTGGATTAAAAAAAAAAAAAAAAAGCAGCCAAATCAATTTGGTTGCTCCCAAACATGTTCACACTTTCTCTTGTTCACGTGTTCAAAGCTACATTGAAAAGAAAAAACATAAGAAAGAAAGAATGCCAGATTGAAGAGCGTAAAATGTGTTCATTAGTGCGTAACGCGGCAAGTATGGCCAAATGTAGCATTACAGTCCAGAGATAAAGGTTCATTCTGTTCCCTTTTACAATCCTGCAGGTAAGAGTACAGGAGGAATCATTTGGGAAGACAAAGACAAAAGTTGCATATATCATTTAAAAACACTGCAGAGGGGAGGAAACATAAAATCTCATATATAAATCAAGAGTTTCACTTGAGCCACAGCGGCGCAGTTTTTCTTTAGATGGTGGTGGTGAAAGATCAAATGGCTTTTGCATAAGCCAAACATAATAATCTTTAAATGGCTAGTTTGACGTCTTTGTTAAACACTAGGCTTGTGTTTTTATCGATAGCTTTGTAGAACTTATATGATTATAACTTAATCTTTTATATGCGCATGACACACAGCTGTTAATGATTGATTTGGAATAAAATAAGGATTTTCATAGTCTTAGTGTTATTAAGTAGTTCTATCACTATCTCCCACTCGCACTAGTCATGCAGTGTAAAGATCAACTCCCTTTGTGAATGTTTTCAACATGACTCAGGCCTAAAGAAGAGTCTCTAACACGAGAGCAGCTCTTGTCATTGCACTTTAAGTAAAAGGTTCTAAAATGGTGCAAATCATACAAACACCACTCTGCTCTTCGTCTTTGGTCCTGTTGGTCCACCGTAGGAAACGTTACGGTTTGCAGCAGGGAGAGCTGACTCTCTATCTTCAGTGAGGTAAAGAGCGATGGCCCGCACCAGTCCCGTCTGTCCATACCAAGGCCATAAAAGCACTTAAAAGATGTCAAAGTTTTGCATAAAATCAAATTAACAGAAACATGCAAAATGATACCCTGTGAAAATCCATCAGTCCAGGGCAGGATACCGTCATCCACACATGCGCACACTTGCTTTTGGTGGAACATCTGCTTCTTGTAGGAAGCACTTATGCAGGATATGGCAGTAAAAGAGGATATTTTCCCATATACACAGCTTTCCCATTCACAATGCAGGAGCCCCAGTATGCAGGTTGGGCATTAGGGGGGAGTTGGTTAGCCAGGAAGTTTGCCAATGCAAGTTTTAGATGGAGGTGGTGATGGTTGTTGTTGTGGGAGTGACTGAGGTGAGGAGAGTGAGGGGGTCACGCATGTGGCTCCCCGACGGAGGTAAAGCCGTTGGCTTTGCTCTTGTTCTTACTCCTGCGGCTGAGCATGCGGCTGAGCGTGGCTGTTCGGCTGGCGCGCTCCACTGCGGCCGGAGACTCTAGGTAGACCAGGTCATTGTGGGACTGGCTCATCCCCGGGTCCTTCCGCTGGTGACGGCGCCGGAAAAAGAGCTTGGCACTCTTCTGTAGGAAACTGCCTGTAGCAGAGAAGCAGAGGACATTCAAGATACATCCAGACAAGTGCTGCATTTCAATCTGTGCACTTACTCATACTGATGCAGAGGTGGGTTCACACTGACAACATCAGGTGCACTATGAATACCTGGTGTGTGCACTAAAAACAGTGCACACACCAGAAACAATGGGCACTTCTCAACCCCACCTTTGCCATCTTGGCTACAGACGAAGCAGACCAACCAATGACTTTCATTTATTTTTGGCGCCCATTGCAGTGGGATTTACATTGCACGACAAAGGAGGTACAGTAGTCAGGGCAAGGAAGACATTCATTTTTTAAGTCAAGTAAGAAAAGTAGCTAGAAGATGTTTTGAAATGTAAAAATAGCCAGTGCATGTGCATCGGGACAACACAGTGGGAATCTGACGGACTCCACACAATACACCATTCAGTACACAGTGTAGTACAGGTGAGTATACTGACATAAGAAAACTTGTTTGAAGAATCATTGGTACAGAATTTATGTCAGTTAGAAATTGATATTGAAGAGAACTAGTGCAGTGCCTGTTCTAACCGTTTAAAAGTTTGTAATGGACGGTTTGTTTGGTCTGTGGTAATACACCTCGGCCAACAGGTCAAGTTACATCCAAGTCCACTCATATTACATGTGTAGCAAAGTCTGTATTAAGCGTAATTGTCATGATAAGAATAAGAATTATTGAGCTATGGCCAAAAAGGTGTTTTGTGAGGTTAAAATGACCTTGACTTTTCACACTCACTTCCTCCTGTAGTCCAAGTACATGTATGTGCCAAGATGTTAAAAATACATTTCCTCAAGGTGTTCCTGATATATACTTATAAACATGGGTCCTGTATGTACCAACAGGAGTCTGAGGATTATTCAATATGTGTGGAGTACTTCAGGTGGGCTGTGAACTAAATTCTATACATTAAAAAAATAAAAAATGCAACATGAGAAGATGTCAGTGGTGGTGCCCCCTCCCACATCGTAAGTCCTATTATTTTATTTCTATTTATTATGAGTCAAATTGTAAATGAATATTTAGAATTTTCGACAACAAACTGACAGCAATTCTAAAATAAAGCATCAAAATGATCTTATATATATATTGAACTGGGTTTACATTGAACATTTCAGTTTGTAGAATTTAAGTGGATTATCTAATATAATCTTGATCATGATTGCATTAGTATATTATCACCTGAAACTAAGACTTGCTTTGTTTTCATTGCCTTAGAATGAGACCTTTAAACCTACTTTGGGAGTGGGTCCTCTTCAGTCTGACATGTTGCACTGCCATGTTACTGGAGTAGCCAAGAACGCACAAAAAAATCACTGGCTCTAGAAAAGACCTTTAGATTTGTGACGTTACCTGAAGGTCACCATGGATTCTCCAACACATTTGAAGGGGAGGGGTGTTCAGGTGGTTGTAATGTGCAACAATCCAACACACTGAGCCTCTACAGTATTCTACACTACTGCTAGCAGAAACAACACATAGCTAGAGTACCAAGAATACTGCGGGGAACTTATGAAGTAACTTACTCATCCACACATGTGTGCTTAGCACCGCATTCCTCTAAGATGGCAGTGATGATAGTTCAGAAAGGAAATGATGTCAGAGTAGGAAGTGAAGAGACAAAAGAACATAAAAGCATCACCACTGTAAAATGTGAGTTTTGCCAATAAGGTAATATGTTTTCTGAGGATTTTAGGTAAAATGGAAAGAATAGAATAGTAATACAAAGACCAACGAGTTCACCATCTCCCTGCCACACATGGCTCATCGATGAGTCCCTCTGTGCCCTCTTACCTCTACTCTTCTTGCAGTTGGCCTCAGACACACACATGGATAGTGAGGAATGGTCGAGTTCCTCTCCTGTCTGGCTCTCCCAGTCCTCCGGGGGCCGGCCTATTCCACTGGGGCCCTCCTGAGGCTCTGACAACTCAGGAGGGCTACTGGTCCCCGATGCAATCGCCACAGTCACATCCTGAGTGGAGCTGCTCTCTGACATCGAGGCATCCATCGCAGCAGCGTAGCCCGCCATCAGAGCTAGCTCATCATCCTGGGACATGGGCGTCTGGAAGCATATTCAACTATTTTTAGAATCAATTTCTAGCATTTTTTAGTAATTTCATGATCAGCCACAGGGGAGGGAAGACAATGGTATAAAAAGCATTCCTCAGCCTCTATACAGTTCCATATTATTTAAAACCCTGTAAATCAAACAAGTGAAACAGTTCTACTAAAATAAAATAACTTAAACAGTACGATGCACCAGTGAAGAGTTGCTGAGATCTGGTGGGTGAGTTCATCCTTACTTTGGCGATGCCAGAGATGATGATGGTACTCTTCTTCACCGGGGACTTGAGCTTCTGCTTGGCAGACTGGTGGAGTTGTCTGATGGCGGCCTCGGCCACCGGGTCCGTGCCATTGAGCATCAGCAGCTCGGTGTCAGACGAGGACAGGGCCTTGCTGACCATCGTCCCCAACATAGACGCCTGCTCTGAAACACGCCGCTCACACAGCTTGGGCTTCTTCATCACAGCTTTCTGGGCAGGATCTGAGTGGAAGGGAAGATTTATTAAACTTAAATTGGACATTGTTAACATTTCACAGTGTGCATTGCAGAGGTACAAAAAGAAAATAACATAACATCAAGTTTAATTAAAAGCGACATTGCACCATGGCAGTGAGTCAGCATGAATAATGTCAGAAACCTGTGCAGCTAAATTATATTTAACATCATTACTGTTTTTTACCTTCTACTGTTGTTTGAGATCAGCACATTTAAATGTCTGTCATCGGGCTAACACCAAATTGCTGAACCTGAGATTAAATAACTGTCATTTAGTACTTATAAGGTGTCCAGGATCACTGAGACATAGTTCTTTACCACTTGGACATGTTATCTACATAAGAAATTGTAAGCACTCTAAAGTTATTTAGGGATAGAACTGGTCTAACAGTGTATTTAAACTGTTCTAAAGGTGTAATCAAGTTTCAGACACATCATACAGAACTGCCGCATCACTCTGTGGTTGGAATTGTTTTTGTTTCCAGGGTGTTTGGTCTCAGCTCCAGCTGAAATACATACATGTAACATGGATTGATGCACTGTACTGAGGCTCAGTGGTGCTTTGAGCTAAATCCTAACATGTGCACACGGGAAATGTCAACATGATTTTTAACAATGTTAAACATTTGATCAGCATGAAACACAAAGGGAACCAAAGGCTGAGGGAATTGTTATATATAATGATATGTTATGGCATTAGACTCAAAGTTTTCTTAGATTCTTCACATGAAAATCTTTACCGAACTATCTATCACTACTACTAGAAGATTTATCCACTGAGGAGCAGGAATGTCAGAAAAAAGTATCATGGCGATAAAATTAATAGTTGATATTTCAGTCTCAACTAAACTGGAGGAGCCACCTACCAAAACATCCAGTGAGCAATGTTACTGCTATGGATAAAAAATTGTTTTATCTTTTTGGAATGGTGATGCAATTTTAAGGAATTTTCATACAAATTATATAAATTAAGACAATTTTTTCGATACTGATATCAGCAGTACTGTACCTATGTTGAGTGGGAGTGGTCGACCCGGCTTGCTCTTCACTGCGGTGATGGTGGTGACCACCGTGCCACAGGGCATGACCGTTCGGTCCATCTCCACCCTCTTATTAGAGGCTGGGGTCGGAGGGTGCCAGGACCTCACCTCGCTGGGCTCCAGGTAGGTAAACTGAGGAATATAATTGAACACATTAAATACTGTAACACTGTGTCAGTGAAAACCTTAGACGCAGAAACAGAATCTTACTCTTTATATTAAAAAATGTGATATCCCAGCGTTAACTGGGATGAGGGTGTTACCTCAGTAGTCAGTGATCCAGTCACCGTGTCTTTGGTCATGAGTGCAAATGTTTGCTGTCCTTTGGGCTGTTTTTTTACAAGATCAAAAGGCACTGATACCTGACCTAGTAAGGAACCTGACAAAGAGAAAACACACCTGATTCAGTCTTGTAGTGCCAAAGCACACGGCAGTAAAAGCTTGTGAACAAACTGAGTTTGTCATAAAAGGAAGGAGTTCTTCTCTTACTCTCTTGAGGTTGTCCATCATTCATTAGCTGAATAATGAGCTCTTTTGATCGTCCATTCAACTCACTGGTGAGATAGACAAATGAAAACTTTAGTAGAAAAACAAGAGAGGAACTCTATCTCAAAGGCCGTGGTGGTTTGCAGTGCCCTGAGGTTAAAACTTACAAGATAAATGGCTGGTCCCAGGCAGGATTGGTCGTGTTCTTCAAAACAGACGTGTTAAACTTCTGTGGAGGATCATCTAACTGCAGCACACACAGAGGATTCATGCTGCCTAAAAAACACAACAAAAACAGCTCAGTTTGCATCACAGGAGACACACAGTGTGTGTCTGTCTGAGAATAAACTGTAAATTCAGTTAGTTCTTCAGGCCAAAGTCTTTTGACAGTTGATTAAATCAAATCTGCTGCTGCATGATTACATTTTGCTGTGGTCACCGCCCCAGCTTCACTTTAACAGACAGAGGGAAATTCTGCCCACACTGTGTATATGTGAGACCAGGTTCACAAAGGTGAGCACAGGCAGACAAAGTCCATTTATAAGTGAACTTTATTAGACACAAGCACTTTCTCTTTATGAGTACATCAGCGTGTGATGCTGTGTCATGTCTCTGCTGCACAGTAACGAGCAGAATACTGAAGAAGATGACACTGACTCACAATTAGAGGGTGAGTCATCATAGCAACTACAAAAACAAAGTTGTTGTGGACGATGTTGTAATCAAAGACTTATTAAATAGCCTCTTATCAGCTCAAAACATGTTTTCCTCTTGTGTCATGGCCGACAACACCACAGTGCTTTGTTTTTATGCTGATCACAAGTGAAGTTCACTTTTGTGTGTTGACAGTGATGTGAATTTATTATGAACAAGATCAGCTTTGACCAGCAGATTACCACCTCTTACAGGGATCTGAAAGACAAATCTAGTCCCAGTTATGTTAAGAGCCGCTGGACACGACTCACTGTCATGTCGGCAGAAATGCCAGGCTGAGAGATTCAATGTGGAGTAGCAACAAAATATAGTATGATATTAATTCATTTTAAAATTGAAATACAGCATTACATGATATTAAATCATCTACTATAGTGGTCAATTAAATCAGTGTTCCTACAAGTTTTGAACAAGTTTAATTTAAGACTTTATAAGACCTTTGTAAAATCCTTATGACTGAAATTTAGTGCGACAGACATGAAGGAATATCAGAGTTCTGGAATTACCCATAATTGAAGTTATGGCTTACTAAGCAAGTAGAGAATAACCTTTAAAATGTCACATTATCTCGCAAACAACAGGTTGAGATATTATCCACAGTTTTTCCCACAGGCAAAATGCGGATGTAGTTATCTGTTCCATGTTTGACTTGTTCGTAGTTTTATCACTGCGTGCTAATATCTGTATCGTTGAAAGAGAAGTACAACACTCAGGAAACATTATAAATGACACATGCCAGCAAAATGTTTTAAAGCATGATGGAAGTAGCGTTAGACATATTTAATAAGTTTTACGTATTTAAAGGTCGAGTGTGTAAGATGTAGGTGAAAGGGATCTCCTGGCAGAAATTTAATGTAGAATAATCCTCATGATGTGTTCACTAGTTCTTTTCCTCTAAATTGTATGAATTGTAGTTTTCTTTACCCCAGAAAAGACACTTTATATTTAAATACTATTTACATCGAGGGGTCCTCTCTACGAAGGCTGCCATGTTTTTTTACAGTCGTCTAAACTGAAAAAACTAAAGACCTTTTGAGTTTTAATGACAACTGAAGCTACCACAGTTTCTCTTTCATTTTTGGGAGGGTGAGGTGAGGGGTATTCATCTGTAACATGACACTTCACCACTAGATGTCACTAAACTACACATTGAATCTTTAAGATCTTTTAAGGTGAATTTTAGACTTTTTACTATTATAGGAATATTTACATTGATAAAACAGTTGCTGCTGGAATTTGTTTAAACAGCCCCATGGCTGTGATGTTGATTTAACAAATGCATCTTTTGTTGACCCCCATGTAAAGGATTTTACAGACGTCTTTATAAAAGACACAGCTTAACATTTTGCTCTTTACAACCCATTCCTTCTGAGTCAGTGTATACTGACCTGACTGATAAGGTTGCTGTGGATGCCACAAGTCAGTGAAGTTGAAAGGCACAAATGTAGGTTTGTGAGCTCAGGACACAACAGACACAGTCACAGCTGTTTCATTTGAATCGAAATGACAAAGACAAACATCCAACCTGCAGCATCTTCCTCCTGATTGAGCGTCACACGGATGTTTTTCACCAGCAGCTTCCAGTCGTGGGCACGGGGGGGTTTGGGGGGTGAAACCACTTTGTTCTGTGCTTCCTATTGAAAAAAACCATAGTAAGTGAAGAAGTGGATAACAATGTTGATCTACTGATTGCACCTGCAGCAATGCAAGTAAAACACTCCCAGGTTTCTCCATAGTGCTGTAACACACATCATGGAGACGATCAAAGGTCTTGGAAAAGTAAATCAGGAAAAAGGTTTTCAGTTGTTCAATTGTATCACTAATTTCAGAGGCAACCTACAGAGTGCTCATTGTAACTGATCGAGTATCCAGGAACTTAAGTAAGAAAAACTATTTTGACTGCTGCTACTTCTGCATTACTCTAGAGATAATCTTTTTAATTAGATATTGTGGCTTCATTGTCAGTTTATTTGCTGACATATCACTTTAATTGCTTTTTCTTGCAATTCACTCATGTGGTTGTTGTTGTTCTTTCCATTTCATTATGCAAGTTCTGCTTCATCCTCTCACTGCAGTCGTTGACACCTGTTTGGTCATGGGGGGAGGTGGGGCCTTTGTGTAATTTGTAGGGCTCCACACAATTTACTGAACTATGAGTAAACACTGTGCAGCTTTTTTTAAAGAAAAGGACGAACTGCACAGCCTTTTAAGAGCAGCCTCTGTTTTCCCACTGCACTGTTTGCATCCACAGGTTTTTGTGTGAAAAGGGCGAGAGAAAAGGCTTTTGTGAACACGCCGTTAGGCTAAATGAATATTTGAGTTTGTGTCAATAACTGTCTGTTGAACTTTAAACGAGTCCATTCTACATCTCATGTTTTCATACAGCTGCTGAGCTCATGGTGTCACATTCCCTACCGCTGTTTCCTTTATGATCTACACTGATCTCATACATGGCCTCTGTCAAATCCAACCCTCAAAACAACTGAGAACCAAAACAAAAAAACATTTCTAGCTTGACTCAATATGACGAAGAGTGTATGAAGTGGATGATTGACATTTTTAATCTTGAAATAGAGAAAATATCAAGATCAGATTAAAATTTTTTTTAAAAAGCAGACCACACAGGCTGATCAAGCGAAATGGTCCAGTTCAACCTGCTTACTGAGCTGTCTAGCCTGTTCAGTCATTTTAAAACTTTAAATCACATCAGGAGGTGGTACGACTGCAACAATTAGCTGAGAAATAAATAAACAACAATTAGAACAAACATTTCCTGGTAAAAGAATCTCAAATGGATGATTTCCCTGATTAGGGAGATAAGGGCTCTGTAGAGTTCTTATACACATAATTGTTTTAACATTTAATAAACACAACAACAAGATAATTTACAGTTGTTACCTCCTAAACATTACTGAGTATTTTGATAAAAAACAGAAATGTGTTTCATATTAAAACTGAGCAGCTACTCCAAGAATACCAACTCCAGTTTGTGAACATGATGCATGGTCAAATTAGAAACACATGACATGACATCATGTGATGCCTGTGCAAAGTGCACTGCAGTAAAAATGTTTTTCATGTGAATTTAATCTTCAGACTTTAGAGCTGAGGTTTCTTTAGACAAACTGTCAAAATGATTAATTTGCTGAATTTATGAAGCTTTGACACTTTTGTGGAGACAGAGTAGAGCAGGTTTAAAATATTTGTAATAATCCTTCTGAAGAATCACAACAGAGATTCATGTCAATTAACTGTCGACCTGTGAGGAAGTATACAGTAGGTTATAGTCTGGTTTTTCACCTTGCAGCGAACAATGACACACACCTTCATTGCGTTCTTGTGTGGGAGCTGTTAAGACGTCATGCATCAGACATGACTCCTCCACTCACCTTGATCTCTGAGGCCTGAGCAGGCCTGCAGCTCAGCAACACAGAGGGGCGCGTCACAGATAACAGCTGCCTGAGCTGCTCCTTTATGGCTGCTACACTAGAAGTGTTGGCATTGTCCTGACAGAGAGAATTGGTGATAATATATGAGTCACATATATAAAAAATGTACAATAGTTTCCTTGTACATATTTCTACATACCTTTTTTCAAGATTTATAAAAGGTCATTGTGACCTTTGACCGCTGTAAAGTATTGACTTAATCTGAAAATCTTAGTCCAAGTGAGAACGGATCAAAAGTTGAAGAAATTCCCTCAAGCTGATCTTATGGTATTACTGTTTAAAGAAAAACATAACCATATTTTGTGAGGCCACCGTGACATTGACCTCTGGCTTCAGAAATTAAGTGATTTAATCCTCGAGTCGAAGTGAATGTTTGTGCCAAATGTGGTTCCTTCACAGAGTTCTAGAGAGATACCCTTCATAAGGCAAACAATGTGTTTTGTGAGGTCACTGTGACCACCAAAATCTAATCAGTTCATCCTTGAGTCCGACTGAATATTTGAGGAAATTCCCTCCAGGCTTTCTTAACATGACATATTGCGTTCACAGGAATGGGATGGACCAAGAACCCGAGAATATAATGCCTCCGTGCCGGCGAAACACACAATTTCCATCTGACTTTGACGGATACATTTCTTTACTTAACCAGACGGATCCTAAGAAAGTTTTTACTTATGATAATTCACATCATAGGACAAAATTGTCTTAAAAAAACACAGGTTTTAATAGAACTGTATCCTTCACCAGCACTGGCGATGAGAGGTGGATAGAAACTTCAGTGATATACCACAATGTAATCTCTATAAACAGATTATTACCAGATGATAACCGATGGGCTTCGAGATAAAACCACAATGTAATCTGTTGATATTTGATAAATATACTACAGACTCTTTTCTCCAGACTCCTCATTTATATATAACAAACTGAATAGTCAATTTCTTTTCGTTTCAGTCAAATACAACAGTTCTCCTGGGTTAGGGTGTCACTGTTTTGTTGTTTCAGAGGGACCTGAAATTACCTGGGTGAAAGTGGGTGTGACGTGCAGCTCCCCTGTGTCCAGGTGAGACACTCCCCAGCTCACTTTAATCTCATCTTCAGCCTCCTGCATCTGCAGATCAAGCTGGGGAACACAGGAGAAAACCATGATACCTTACATTGAATATATGGCACTGTTTAAATAAATATGAAATAAAATTGATTCTCAAGATATTAAGCAATACACCAAACATAATAGATTTCAGTATGCATTTTAAAAAACAAACCACTTAAAGGGATGGGTTTACAGGAACTAAAGGTTTATTGTGGCTGGAACTCATTAGACCGTTTCCGTCATTTGATGAATAAATGTCCAAATACCCAACAGGCATTAAACTGTCACCACTGCACCAGTTCACACCACATTAGAAAGAATTCATCCCAGTTGATTATAGTAGTTGTTAACTTGTTGGCTACCTTTAGGCAGCGACAACCTCAAAACTGTCATGACTTTTGAGAGGAGATGAAAACCTGACTGTTGGAATCAGTGGAAGTTCACCAGATCGTGGATTCAATTAAAATATTAGGTTGTATTGATTTTCTTTGTTTTTTCTTCAGCCAAGGATGTTTCAGCCCATTTTTTGTTTCCTTGGTTTGATTGTTTAATGGAAACCAAGATTACAACTACTGTATGGATTATCATGAAATTCAGGGGAAGGATGCAGTACGGGTCACAGAAGTACCCATTAGATTTTGGTGCAGATCCACGTTTTTTTTTTAAGGGAATAGATCATTAATCCTGGCAACCACATATTTGGCATAACAAGGGAACTTATATCTATGAAACTTGGCTGGGACTTGGTGCAGGTATGTAGAAGTGCCCTTCTAGTATGAATCTGCATTCCGTCTTGAAATCATATTCTGTATACTATGTCTAGTTAAAATAAAAAATAATTATAATAAAAAAAACACTGCTGAGAGTGTCAACACCATACAGTCTACAACAAACATATTAGATCAACCTCACAAACACAAAGAGGACTTCCTAGAGAAGGTCAACAAGATTAACATAAACACCAGGTTCATCTGAGAGAGAAAATGAAACGAGACAGAGGAAGATAGAAAAGAGGGAGATAGAAAAAAGACTGGGCCATCCTGCCTCAACATGCCTGGATTCCAGTGAAAGACTGAACAGCTGTGATGCCAAAAAGACCAGATACCGATAACACAGATATCAGAGGCTGCATTGATAACAACTGGATCAAATAGTAATAAAAAAAATCCACATGAATTGAAGAACAGAAATAGTTTATGAAGGTTTCTGCCTTCACTTAATATATGCTCCTTTATGTATCCTCAAGAGACCGTCTGTTGACTCTGCTGTGTACTCATACAACAAATATGTAAATACAGCATTTACATGTCATATGAGTACTGCATTAATGCGTCACGTCACCCTCATCACATGAAGTGCGCCATGTGGTGCAGTAGTGTGCTAAAGGACAAAATACATTGCATACTGTAAATGTGTGGGGCTTCTCTCGCACATATCACTCCACTCATAACATAATGAGCCAGGAGCATTCTAGCCTGGACCTCTGTGGAAAGCTAACAAATGTACCAGTGGATGGAAGGAGGTGTTTGAAAAGGCTTTCTGACTTTTCCAGACTAAAATGGAAACAATGAGAGTGAAAAGGGGACAAGCGGCTTCCTTTATGTTCCTGTGACAACAACTGATCCACAACCAAAACAAAAATGTCCCAACTCTAATCCAGACTTAGGCTTTGTAGCCTCTCACTCTGGTTGTATTTATGGCACAATGAGCTAAAGAGTTGTGACAAGCACCTTATTAGTGTAAAAATAGCCTTAATACAATTGGGTTAACTGGTATAGCTGCTTGTATCCATACATGTAACACTGAACCTAAGAAGAGATTAAAAGTCAACCACAAGCTACTGCGCTGTTTTTATTAAATGTCCCAGAACTTCCAAGAGCAAGGACTTTTGTCAGACCAGAATTTTTTTCTAAAGAAAAGAGGGACTGTCAGATTTGAAGATGATAAATCAAATAGACGTCTACAATCTCTTGAAAAGATCAAAGATTCATTAGTGGTTGGGGATATAATGTTAGAGCTCCACCAATCCTGACAAATGTAAAATTAAACAAAGTGGGCCTTACTGGAAAGGGGCCAGACAGTGATTTTAATGACGTCTTCAGGACATTTGCCAAGCACAGAAAGATACCACAACCAATTAATCTAATTCTGGTGCCAGCAAATAGCCAGTGCCGGGCAGCAGCACATCATGTTTAATAAAATCTAACATCAAACCATAATGACTTCCTGAAGGATGCAACTCTTTTCTTCTGATGCCTCAGTGAGAGGTATTGCACTATTACATTTTGGTGTCTTTCTTTTAACTTGACTTAAAGGTACAGTGTGTTGAATTTAGTGATATCGAGTGTTGAAATTGCATGTTGCAGCTGAACACCCCTCTCCTCACCCTCCCCTCCCAAACATGAAAAAGAGCCTGTGGTAGCTTCAATTGTCATAAAAACTCAAGAGGTGTTTAGTTTGTTCAGTCTGGACTAATGTAAAAAATATGGCGGCCCCCGTAGAGAGGACCCCCTCGATGTAAATATAAAGTATTTAAATAGAAAGGGCCTTTTCTGGGGTAAAGAAAACTACTATTCATACAATTTAGATGAAACACACTAATGAAACCATCATGAGGATTGAGCATTTACCTGCAGCTCAAGTGGAGCTATACACACTGTGTATGTACGAGGATCTGCTGTAGCCATGGCTGACAATGTCGCACTGAGAGAGAACTGAAGCTTCTCCCCAACCACGCTACAGCAAGTGGCCTGTTGGGAAGACAAAGTGAGACATTAGTGCTGTGTAAATCTACTGAGAATGTAAGAGCTACAGCAGGGCCAGCATTTGCACACAGTTGAATCATGACTTATGAAAACAATTCCAGTAGGAAGGGAAAGAATTTGCAATGTACAGTTGCTGTGTGTAAAGAAATGTAAAGACTCAGTAAAAACATTTATGTTACTGTGTGTAGATTCTATCACAACAAACATATGCATGACATAAGCAGACAGTAGATCACCTTTGCTGCAATGGAACACAACCTTCACAGAGTAAATTACCACACAATGGTACAGTCACTTCTTACTAGAAAGACATTCATTCAGTGCATTCTTTCTGATTTTAGGGTAGAGAGAATGGTTTTGTCCAGTTTGGTGTAAATCACTGTAATGGGAGACCGAGACATAAACATAGATGCTGCTGCATTCCCTGTCTGCCTGCTCCTCCTTAGTGCTGAGCTTGACAGATATATAAGCTTCTTACACACACACACACACACACACACACACACACACACACACAGTCTGTAAAAATAAGCCTCTGTTCATTAAACTCCCCACATTCACTCATTCACTGACAGAACACCTGGTATTTTGCACCATATCATGTTGATCACAATGGAAGAGCTGAGTTTGCATTGAGAGCTCAGCAAAGCCCACCACGCCAGAAACAGAGAGCAATTTGTCCCTATCTGACCTCGCTAAAAATGAAAGCCTGATGGTGGCAGTTTGCTTTACGCACATTCTGCTGCATGTTGGCACATACTGTGTTTACTGATAAAAAACCAAATGCAAGCATCAGGTAGTGTCTTTCAAGAATGATTTGCATCTCAATTTTTGTAATGAGCATGTGGACCCCAGAAAAGAAATGCACAGCATATTATCTTGCTAACTCTAAATGAATGGGGGTAATGTCTTTACTAAAGGTGAAGGGTTAGAGTTAGTGTTGATCTGATGCAGAATATAATGCAGGACTGATTGTAGAGTAGTTCCCTCTTAAATGAATTAGAGGAGGGAAGATTGATGTGAGGGACAGGCTTTGTTAATAAACTGCACAAACATGGAAATTGAAAATCTACTAAGTGTCTGCAGCTACCATGGAAGACAAATGATTATTTTCCCAAACACAACATACTCGCTCAACAAGAGCACAGCTATTCTAGATAACTCCTAGAAAAATATATACTGATTGTTGTCTAGACGGAGGCAACACAAAACAACATTAAACATGAAGCAAAAGCCCTTGTGTTGCATTCATAACACACAGACTTCAAGAGCAAGTGTACCTGGCTCCTGGAAGACTTTTTGAAGCTAGACACACGGCTGACCGTGAGCTCTGATGCTTCAAGATCATCCTCTTCAAATGTCAACAGAACAGCACCCTGATGAGGAGGAAGACAATGGACAGATTAGAACAACAAATGCACACCACACAACTTCTACATCAGGGTAATTACGTTGTTGCCAACAAATCAGCATTGATCTGAGCTGCATTGTATCACATTGGCATCTGCAGTGTGTGATCCAACTGAATAACTCTGAGGAAAATAAACTGCTCACGGTCCAGGGGTGTTTCTGGTGGTGCATTGAGAAGAAGACAGGGAGTGACAAGGCTGGTGTGTCGTATGTTGAAGGATGGTGCTGCCATTTGAAGCTACATCAGAAGCTAAATGTATGAGTGTAGATGGAGTGGTCTGATTCACTTCCTCAGACAATCTGCACTGTCTTTATTCAAGTCACCTGCCACACACACACAGACACACACACACACACACGAGTGGCGGCTCTGGTCATGAGACTCACCCCACGCTTCCTCGACTCTTCGGTCAGAGCCCGGCACCAGGCTCCTCTCCACTGACTCCTCCAGCTCTTCAGCGACAGCGCCCATTTCAGCAGCGCGGCGGCTTCCTCCTCCTTCGCCGCGTTGCCCTCGTCTGTCCACCGCTGGTTTCCTACAGCCCTTTGTTGGCAATACTGTACGAAATACACCACCAGAGTGACCAGGGACGCTAGGAACAGCGTGACCATGCACAGCCACTGCGGATCCTCCAAACCGAAACGTGAACTGGCGCTTTCCAAGTCGGACATTCTTTGCTGGATGAAGACGACGAGCTCAGCTTAACACAACCTCCTCTGAGAGACAGCCTGGAAACCTCATAGTATTAATGTGCTCGAAGTCACTGTGGGCAAACTGACCCCAGCACAGCTCTCAACTCCCGGTACACACTCTGCTTACTGATAGCCATGTTGCAGAACCGTAAAGCGGCTACACAAGGTGTCCGTGGAGACCCGGTGCAAAGGTTTCTCGAGGTAAACGCAAACAGTCCCCGCAGAGGAACACTCCGTCCTCCACTCATTGAGTGCGCTCGTTAGCCCAGTTAGCTAATCTTCGCCTCACGTCGCTTTACCTAGCGGTTCCTCGTTAGCTGATAAAGTTCACCCGCACACAAAAAAAAGACTTATTTCCCAGGTTCAGAGGCTGAGTTCCACCGGACGATATCCAGACAGTGAGAGACGAGCCCCGGGAAATCATCCCGGGAGCGGAGAGGGCAGTCGCGGCCGCGGGACTCGGTCTGACTGGACTAAAGTTGCCGATTGGAAACGGATATGTGGCACAAACTGTGACTCCCAGAATGCACCGCGACGGACGCGAAAGTTTGTTGTTATCCGGGTAGAAGCGTGAACCGAGACTTATCCAGGGTGACATGAATCCTACACGTTATTTGTTTTAATCAGGGATCATATTTTTTATTTTAGTAGTTTAATTAATTACCCCGGGTAGAAAAACTACAACTACAACGTATTTTTGAGCTTCGCGGCTTGCCGTAGACTGTCTGCCATCATTGTTATCAGTCAGTAGCTCGTCGTGTTTGTAGCAAAGAGCTAGCTGCTGCTAAGTACCTGCTGTCACTGCTCAGAAATTCCATTGAGACAGGGTTCCCTTTCAAACGTATGTATATATTTTATAGTTTATTTATATAATTTCGAGGTCTTCTGTATTTTAACACATCGTAATACGTTGTGTAGAGAAGGGGCCGCCCGTCAGGACAGGTAAACAAACTATAGCCGAGCTACGCTCAGTAGCCACCATCTCCCTTCTCGTGTCGTCGCCTGTAAATGGAAACATCTCTTGTTTCGCAATGAACTGTCGCTCGGAGGTTCTGGAGGTGACAGTGGAGTCGAGGCAGGTGGAGGAGGCCATGCTGGCTCTGCTGCACACCATCTTAATGCACCGCAGCACCGGGAAATTTCACTACAAGAAGGAGGGCACCTACTCCATCGGTACAGTGGGCACACTTGATTTCGATTGTGATTTCATCGACTTCACCTTTGTCAGAGTGTCCTCAGAGGAGCTGGACAGGGTGATCAGGAAGGCTGTGTCTGAATTTAAGGTAACTGGTGATTGTGGAAGGCTGTTGTTAGGTACAGTCCATGGTTAGGCCTGTAATCTCATGCTTTTATGACATGTTTTGGTTTCAGGACGCTTTGAGCAATTCAGGCAGCGACGGCATGGGGCAAATCTCCCTGGAGTTCTACCAGAAGAAGAAATCTCGCTGGCCTTTTTCAGATGAGTGTATTCCCTGGGAGGTGTGGAGCATCAAGGTCAATGTTGTCAACCTCGCCAACGAGCAGGAGAGACAGATCTGCAGGGAGAAAGTGGGCGAGAAGCTGGGGGAGAAGGTGATCAACGTGGTTGAGGTCATAAATCGCCACGAGTACCTGCCAAAGATGCCCACCCAGTCAGAAGTGGACAATGTTTTTGACACCAGTCTCAAAGATGTTCAGCCATACCTTTACAAAATCACATACCAGATCACTGACTCCCTGGGAACCTCCGTAAGCACCACAATGAGGAGGCTGATTAAAGACACCTTGGCACTGTGAGGATGCTCCAACACAGAGAAGAGAAAGTTATGGATGACTTCAAACCTTAAAAATATCTGTAGTAACATCTGTCATCTCTTTTTATGTTAAAACATTTTTTTTTCAGCTCCACTTCTGCTACAGTGAGTGTCAGATAACTTTTCAGACGTCTCTGTCATGGTTCTGGTATTGATTGTACC